TATGAGAATACCTCCTTGAAAGACTCCCTAAAGAACCAGACACTTGAGAGCCCTCATGGGCATTCAGCCCAGATGGGAAGCAGCCATCAAGAGACACATGCAGTATCAATCAGTTATGAAGTGTTTACCTCCTTCCCATTTCCCTCATCCCAGTCCCAACACACATGATGAGAAAGGGAACCCACAGGGTAGAGAAGGAGGTGAAGGAGGAATGACAGAACTGAACACATCTCTTTCCCACTGCAGTCCCTTAGAAGAGGGTTGGACTGTACTGGGAAAAGGGGAGGAGTTAAGATTCTTATACTGAGCTATATTCAGCTCAACAGTATGGGCTAATCTCTGAATCCCTGAAGATGGCTGGAAAGTTATGGGACACATCTGCCATAGCATCCAAGGAGAGCCAGTGTAGCACAGTAGAAGGCAGTGACTGGAGGGGAAAAAGTCCTATTTACACCCTACTGTGTTCAGACTCTTTAATAAACTTGTTAAAAGGCCCCTGGAAGATTTTTGAACCAAGGATCTCTCTTGGGTCCTCCTACCTTTCCACTATCAGCCAATAAATAAATCAGTACTCAGTTTCATAAGTGATGTCATATTTCCCAAAGTACATTTAGGAAAACATTCATTCCTGTAGTTAATAATCATCACTCTATAAAATCAGGTTTTGTGATAAAAAATGTGAACGGCTTCAGATACAACACTGGAGAGTTTTGTGTTTCCAAACCCCATGTCACCCTCCAACGCTTCAGGTTTTATAAGCCATTGTGGGAGGTCTATAATCTGATCTCTTTTCTCTTTTGACCCTTGAGTTGGGCTGCAGCACTCACTGTAGGTCAGTTGCCACCTGGAAGAGCTGATGAATGGGCTGAATCATCCAACAGCCAGAAGAGTTTGAGTTGTCAGGAGAGGCTTAGAGTTGGCAGGTGGAGTTGAAGGAAGTTTCATTATTTTACAAAGTCAAACACAGGAGCCAAAGAGTATTTAGGAAGTAGAATTGGGGATGGGCAGTGGGGAAAAGATGGGTTTTTGGAGGTCATGGAGGGTGAAATTTCTGGGGAGAACTGAGATCTTCATTAGAGATTCTCAATTTTGGCTGCGCAGTGGAATCATCTGAGAAGCTTCTAAAAAAATACTGAACTCTGAGCTCCACCCCCAAAGACTGATTGAGTTGACCTGAAGTACAGCCTAAGCATCTGGATTTTTTATATCTCCCCAGGTGATTCTAATGTATATCAAGCTTTGAGAAGATTGGATCATATGAGGTAGAGCATAAAGAATTGGAGGTTGGAGAATGGGATTACTTGTTGCTTTGCCTACCTATTGCTCACAGAACAAACACATTGTTTTGGCAGGCAGTACCAGTTTCTGGCCAATCAGGAACTGGCTGACTTCTCTAGTCTCAATTCTTGCCATCCTCTCCTCCAAATCTTACCTCCAGTTCCTCAGCTGTGACATACCAGGGACTGAAGGACCTTTGCCTGGGCCTGAGCAGGAGAAGACTATAGTGACTGATGCTTGGTGCTCAGACAGTATCTGTCTGAACACCTTGAGGAAAGATGTAGATGTCATGGACAGTTCTGGCTCATAGAGAGTCTGGATAGGACCTTGTCACCAGGCCCTGTGTCAATCAGTTATAGGCTGCAGGGTCATGGTAGCAGAGAGGGAAGGGGGAGAGAGAGTAAGCTTTTCTAAGAGGAGGGATCTGGGATGCCCCAAGACTGTCCAAACACCTATTCCTTAAGCTTCTTGTGGGCTTGTTTTCTTCCTTCCCTCCCTCTCTCCCACTCTTTCCTTGTTCATTCATTCTTTCCATCCTGTTTTTCTTTTATTCTTTACAAGAAACAAACTGATAGTGCACACTAGGCATTGTGACAGATACGGGGAATCATAAATAAATAAGATACAGTCCTGGTGAAATAGCTCATAGCGTAGTGGTGCAGACAGACAGGTAGTGAGATAATTATGACACAAGGTGATGAGTGCTGTAATAAATAAGTGTGGGGAATCCCCGGCTTAGGCAAGAGCTGTTGGTATCAGTCTCCTGTTGCCTTGGTGTGTTCATTTGGTGTCACGTGCGGGTGGTTGAGATGAGGTCAGATGTCTGTAGGGACTGACGTTGGGTGTGCAGCAGGACCAATGGGATGAGTGCCTTGACCTGCACACGGCAGCTGGTTCAGGTGGGAACACTGAGAGGATCTGGTGAAACCAGGAGGCAGATGGGTCCCTGCAAAGAGGGAGGTGTCAAAGCTGGTGTTTGAGGGCAGAATGTGGCTGATAGAAGAGACCAGAGTGACACGTTAAAAGCACTGATTATAGAATTAAATATTCCTGGTTTTGTTTCTTTGCTTTTTCAGGTGACAGCTGTCTGAAGGTAGAGGTATTGGGGGAGAGAAAAGGCTATAAAGTTATGAGAGGACAATCGACCACAGATTATTATAGTTGAAATCAGAGGTGGAAGTAAGAGACTAACCTACATTTAATGAATGGTGTGTCAATACATCACTCACTCTATGTTTCTGAGTTTCAAGAGGAGCTCAAGAGAAAGAGGTGATTCATCTAGGCTGAGATAACAGGGGGAATTTTGCTGAAAGGTGAATTCTAATTGGTAGGTGAATAGCATTTGATAGATGTGGTAATGTTAATATGTATGCTTGACGTGACGCAATTGATGTGACTGACTAATTTCTGTGGAAATTTCATTTAAATCAGCTCTATAGAATTGTCATTCATTTTACTGTAACTCTAGATTTTACTATAACACTGTATTTTCCTCTGAGATAAAAGCATGCTTAAGGATAGGGCAAATATTTTATATCACACATGTAATTAAAAATGATAGTTTCAATAAAACATTATTAAAAGGAAATGTGTCTGTTTCTTCTGCTACAGGAAGGCCTACAGTTGTGGCTGCCCACTCTGAGATGCTCAAATATGGTATAACAGGGCATTCCAGGAACTCTGCACTCAGTGGTCCTCAGTTCCAGGAGAAGTGTTGTGGTTCTGTCCAGATTTGCAAGTTTTATGGCTCTGGGTCCACCAACCTTCCTTCATGTGAAGCAGAGTAAGGGCTCACATACGTGGCAGTGACTCTGACCTCTCAGCCAAGCCTACTTATCCTGAATGTTTTTTGAGGCATATTTCCACCATGAGTCTCCACTGTTTTGGTCCCATGGAGGAGTGCTGCCCAGGAATTTCTCAGGTTTTGAGTGACAAGTAGCTCGTGGTGATAGATCCAAACATGGCAGCTGTGGTTCCTACCATAGAGAATTGTGCTGCGCTGGAGAGTAGATCATATATGCTCAGAGTGTCTCACAGCAAACTCCTTGGGAGCCTTTTTCTTTATTAAATCACAAAGATTTTAGAAACTCTGAGTCCTTAGATGTTAAAGTGAAAGTAAATAGTTTGATATTCTCCAAGAATAAAAAAACATATATTTGATTCAATGAACTCCCAAAGTACTACACAGGATTCTGTTTTTCCTTGGTATCTCCAGCCCCACACTGATTTCTCCCTAGTTTTCAATTTGAATTTAGTTCAGGCTCCATGATGTCCCTTTGACTTATTCTAAGAACCGTCCGGATGCCTTGACTGCACTGCTCCTTTACGCCAGTATTTCACCTCTGGCAGGCAGAGTGAGGTGAATCTCTAACCAGATGATTTCCACCTAGGGGGGCAGATGAGTTTCATATTTTAGGTCCTAAATATGAGGAAGTAAATTAAAAAAAGTCTAACAAAGTTATCACTCACATGGTTTGGTTCTTAGCTCTATAGCTTTTAAAAAACAAAACAAAAATAAGAACAAAACACAAAGTTAAACAGGTCTAAATAAATATTAAGTGAAAAAAACTAATTGTTTCAAAGATCTCTTGAAAAGTCTCAAGGGGTGCCAAGTGACGGTAACCGAGAGCATGGCCTCCACAGTCTGATGGCTGAACCACTTTCTGGCTGTGTGGACTTGGTCATGGTACAAAACTGTCTGGATCCTTAGTTTTCCCATTTGTAAAATGGGGTTATTAAGAGCACCTACCTTCTAGGTTGTTTAGAAAATTAAATGAGTTCATTTCAGTCACTTAGGGGTTCCTAGTATATGATAAGCACTAAGTTTTTGATGTTATAATTATACCAAAGATCTATAATCTTAGAAACACTTCTTATGCTCCCTTCCCTTTTTCCTAAGTGTCTCCTAATCCACACTCTCCACATTGTCGCATTTCCTAAGCTCTCAGCCCTGTCCCTCCCTCTAACCCACAACTTCTTTAGCTTCAACTAATTCTCTTCCCCTCCTCTGCCCCCACCCCCAGCTTTCTCTGGGATTTTTGTTGAGCAGATGAGCAGATGGAGTTATCTCTCCTTCCTGATGCCATCCCTTCCTCTTCCTGCCTCTTTATTCTACTCTTAGGATTTTCAACTTTGGCATTTCAGTCCAGAGCATTCTCTGTAATGGGGTGGGGACTGTTCGGTGTTTTGTGGCATGTTTAGCTGCATCCCTGGCCCCTATCCACTAGATGCCAGTAGGATTATACCCTCCAGCCTCAGCATCTACAAACAACCAAAAATGTGTCTAGATATTTACAAATGTCCCTTGGAGGGACAGATTCCCCTGGTTGAGAGATGCCCAATTCTTCCTATTTTCTGAGAAGATAATTGCCTGCCACACATTCTCTGTTTCTCAATGGGGATGCCAGAAACAGTACAACAAGCAAATAGCAGCTCCTCATAGGAGCGTGGGGAGCCCATTGTGAGAGGAACCCCCACCTTACATTTCATAAGAAAAGTCCTTCCTTTTAGTGATGGTTATAGGCCCCCCATTCAATCTCCTCCTCTCACCCACTGCCTCCCAGTCCAGCATAAAAAGACTGGCAGACCTCTATTTTTTCTAGTCTAAGCCTAGGATTCTGCATCCTCTCTAGGGCAGTGCTGCACCTGAGGGGCAGATGGAGGGGCACACATCCAGCCACCTGGGGAGGGACAGAGTCAAGTGACACGTGGACTGCCCGTGATAACGAGGAAGAGAAGCTTTATTTTTCACAGTCAAGCACAGGCCCTGCCAATCATTGCACATGCAGGGGGTGGGGGAACTGTGAGATCCTGGACATAGGACAGAAAGAGCCTTCCGGAGAGAGCTCCAAGTCCTCCATGGAACATCCCCAGCTCAGGCTGGGAAAGTGAGGATGTTGTATCTGGGAAAGGATGTGTCAGGCTGGGCTTTTCCTTGACCCTTTGGATTCTTGTTTCCTCTGGAGTTGTTCATCTCAGCGTCAGGAGCCCAGGTCAGCAGCAGCCCCCAGAGCCCTGGCCACAGCTGGAGTCCCCGGACTGCTGACCACTGCCACGGTCACAGGAGTTGGAGCTCCGGCGCCGGCATCGGTGGGACCTGCGGCGCCCATGGTGGCTCAGGCAGCAGCCGCCCTCGGAGCTTGGAGCACAGCCCGAGGAGGCTGGAGGTGAACACTGTGCGGGGCTCTTTGGGGGGCACTTGGGCGAGGGGCACTTGGGAGGGGGCTGGCACTGCTGCTGGTGCTGCTGGGAGGACATCTCGGCGGGAGGTGAGTGAGCCTGGACAAAGCAGAAGTCCCTGTCAGTTGAGAGTCCACAGTTCAATATCTCCTCACTCTTGGTTTCCTGGACCCCTCGCTTCTAAGACCAGCTTCTCCCTGAGCCAAGGCTGCAGGAGGGGTGGGAAACTGATGTGGAGTTAGTTTGATCATGCAAGATGGCTCCACCTTTGCTCTCCACCCAGCACCCAGTGCTGCCAATCTAAGTGGGCATCCAGCGTTTTGCATCTTAAAGGAAACACACAGGGGATGCAGCATTTGCAGAAAGCTTTCTGAAGGATGGATGTCACAGGAAACATGTGTGGATGTGAATAGAAAGATCAAGGGAAGGAATCATGCGTTTCTGTGGCCTTTGTAGGTCCCAGAATTCCTGTCACAGCCCACAGGGACTGCTTCCTGGCCCTCACTTCCCTCCTTGCTGCCCTCTTTGCAGTCCTATTTCTGGGATTTCATTCCAGATCCCTTTGTTTCCCTCTCCTCAGCTATGACCTTGGGGTTCTTTCCCAGCATCTTAGCTAGAGTCCCTTCCCCTCAGACACTCACCGGATGCAGAGGAGGCAGGAGTGGCTCGTTCCTGAGGAGGCTGTGGATGAAGAGCCCAGGGCAGGATCCCTTTTATCCTGTTCTGGGTTCATGATGCATGCCCACGCATGCTGCTGGTTTCCCAATCAGGGAGAGGGTGACAGTCTGGCACACCCCTGGCACTAGGCTTCCCTCCTTTTTCTTGGGCACTTGCACAATGTCCAACTAATGAGATTCAACCAGGAAGCATGGTGACTGTCCACATACCTCTGCCTGGGGCCGTCTGTGAGCCTGACCCTTTCCTTTCCATCCTTCCTTCTTTTAGCTCACATGCCTTGGTTCAGATTCTGTCTCATGTACTTTCCTGGGGACAAGTTTGTCTATGAAAGAATTCTGTTCTTGCATTTACCAGTCTACCAAGACATATACACAAACAGACAAATGAATAAATCATAAAACAAATTCCAAGTGATAAATGTAATTAAATGCGTACAATGTCTCCAGGCTGCCCCAGTGGCCACGATCTTCAGATATAGTCCACTATGCCTCCTGAGCTCCTGGCAATGAGATGGGGGACTGGTGTGGAGCTCTGTCTGGGGTAAGTGAGCCCTTTGGATGACTCGTGGTACCCAGGGAGAAGCATGAGTTTTCATTCATGAAAGGAGCAGAGCCACATTAGGTGCTGATGGGCAAATAAACAAATTGACTAGAACTGAAAATGTGTATGGTTTTTTTAGTGAATTCATCCAGACCCAAAACTATTTGCATGTTTGAATCTATTATACTATCTAGCTATAGTCAAAGAAATGCATAATTAGGTCTATAAACTAATAATCCATATATAATGTGAATAATTTTTATAATTACAATGATATATCATGGATTTATATTTTCTTACAGAGAAAAATGTTCATAGCCTATTGTTAATTGGTAAAAAGCAGGTAGTAAAGCAGTACACACAGTTAATTAAATGATACTTTGAATGAAGTCTTTTTTTTTTTATAGGAAATGTGTCTTATTTTTTTATGACCATTAAAACCTATACGACTGGCTTCCTGCTTTGGACAGTTTCATTTTTCTCACTTCACTGTAGAACTCACCCACACTAAAGCATAGAGATCCCATGAGTTATTTCAAGACCCTGTGGAGGAAAGATTTGTGGTGGGCCTTCAGAGTGTTAGCTCAGTATGGAAGAAGTGGAGACAGTTGGGGAAGGAATTACGCCCTCACTGACATCCTCCTGTCTCCAGAAGAGGTTCTTGACCCCCTTGAGGCCATTTCTCTCACATCATTGAGAATCCAACAATTAGACACTGGGTCAGAAGGGGAAAACATGAGTGATGAAAAGGACACTATTTTTCACGCGGACTCAGTGGTGAGGATGAAGAGGGAGAAAATAGTTGGAAACTCATTTCTGTCTTCCTCAGCTTTGTTGGATGAGGCTAGCCTTGGACAAAACCACAAAAGTAGGCTACTCTGCCTCCTGATATACCTGGGACCTCCTACTTACAACTGGTGTCCTAATGTAATTGCCCAGTGGTGTCCTGGTCTGGATGAAAATACAGAGAGAAGAGATCAGCCTAACGGAAGTGGTGCTCACATCACACTCGGGGCCCCTCTGAAGGTTCAGCCTGATCTTGGAGTGTGACTGGGAGAGGGACATCATCCACTGTCTTTTCTCCCATGGACTTGAGCCTCCTATTGCTAGCCCTTCCTCCTGAAGCTCATAGAATTGTACACTTAAATGGGTGTTTTTTTCCGTATGTAAAATATACCTCAAGAAATCTGACTTAAAAATAACAAAAAATTTTAAATAGTGATTTTTAGGAATAAGTATAAATGTGACAAAAATATATAAAAAAGAAAGCAAAGAATGATAAATATAAGATTCAGGATGGTAGTTACATTAGCTGGGACAGGCAGGGGAATGCAGGTGGGAGAAGTAAGTAGGTACCTATAACTTACTATCAAAGTTCTGGTTTTCACTTGGGGGTTGATTTTTGTGTGTTTGTTATTTGAATAATATATAGTCAGATAAGCAGAAGGTAAATTAACTAAGAGGGCTTTGCATGGACCAATGATGTGGATATATACAAACCAAGGATTATTGTTAATCCAGATCTGTGCACCTGAAATCTGATAACAAGAGAACTAAAGGCTGTGAACTCCAGGAGTAGGTGTCTCCCCAGCACGCCACATTCGGCCTTGCTCATCTCATTTTCCTCTCTTCACAGCATCGGTCATAAATTGCTCAGGAGAAGGGCTGACCCTCGTCTCTTTGTTTGCTCATTTATTACTAATATGCCTTGCTCAGAAGGCTCACCCTGGAGCCGGGCCTTGGATAAAGTGCTTCCTGTTCCAGAGCTAACACACGTGTAATTAGGCCACAAAATCCTCATCGTAGGCCAACCAGGAAAATTTCTTCCCCATGTGATGTCCCAGATTCCTACTAAGACATCCTCGGACTACAGCATATTTGGAGTCGCCTCATGCTCTGGGCTGTATGTTCAAGTGTCTTCTGTCACCTCAGGCTCATTGTGAACTCTGCTCTGAGAAGCAAAGGGTGGACTGTGGGGTGGGGCAGCTTCCAGGAGGACGGTGTGAGATGAAGGAGCTCCATCTCAGGGAGGAAAAGAATGAGAACATCAGGATGTGGAGACAGGGACTAAGACAGGACTTGGGGTGGAGGTGGCAAGCACTTCTGCTAACAGGCTCTGGAATGGTTTGAGCCGCACTGACCAGGGGGCATGTGTTACACACAAGGTATAGCCCCACAGCAATTCAAAATCGCTTATCCTTGAGATTAAAAATGGCCTCTGGACTTATTTCTGAAAAACCACATTTCACAGAAAACTAATTCTTCCTTTCTGCATCTAGGCTTGAACCCTGAGACAAAGTCAGTTCTCCTCCTGTCCATCCTGCAAACCCCTGCAGTTTGCCTTAGGGCTCAGTCATCACAAACATAAATATTTGTTTAGTGTTCATCCTACCTGCGACACTGGGGGGAAAGCACACCCGGAGTGGAGGCGGGATCTTGTTTTGAAGCAGAGAGGACATGGAAACCTGCCCAGCTCTCCTGTGCCCACCATCAGACACCCATCTCCATGTCCAGGACCATTCAGGTTTACACACATGACTTGAAAGAACTGTTGGACTCACTAGTTCAAAATGAGTAAATTGTAGATTGGAGAGAAAAAGGAAACTGTGGCCTTTACTATTAATTTGTATCTAAAAACAGGTAGCCAGTCCTTTAGGCTTACAGAAAATCAGAATGTAATATATTACATTAGCTATGATGAAGTTTTATTTAATTTCATTCAATTAAATTTAAGTACGTGAAGGTTAAAGTTCCAATGAAAATTTTTTTGGTGAATATGATGTAATATATTTTGTTATCATATTTGACACCAAGTTTGATGAGGAATACATTCGTAACACCACAGTTAAATCAAATGGGAAGACAGTATCCAGTTTACATAAAGCTTAGCCATTATGAGGCCTATGCTATCAAATGAGGTACACGTATCACCTCCAGCATCGTCAACCTTACAATTATCAGCCATTTTGAAAAATGGTTCATTATCATCATTTGCACACTTTTTCCTCAACTCTTCCAAGCACATGAGCCATTTCCTTCTATCAACTTCTACAGAGTTAGAATCAATAGCACATGTCCCACAGGTAGGCAGATGAGGACGCAATGGAGCCACAGTGAAGAACTGGATCTTCTCCCCATCTTCCACCGCCTCTTCCCACTTCTCCTCCCCCTCCTTCTTTTTTAAAATTATTTTATTTTATTTTTTTGAGGAAGATTAGTTCTGAGCTAACGTCTGCCGCCAATCCTTCTCTTTTTGCTAAGGAAGACTGGCCCTGAGCTAACATCCGTGTCCAATTTCCTCTACTTTTTATGTGGGACACCGGGCACAGTATGACTTGACAAGCAGTGCATAGGTCTGCACCCGGGATCCGAACCAGCAAACCCCAAGCTGCCAAAGCAGAACGTGTGAACTTATCTGCTGTGACACTGGACTGGCCCCCTCCTCCTTCTTAATAATATCAAATATGAATCTTGTCACATCTAGAGTTGTAAGTCCCTTCTTCACTCTAACTCCTCTGCTGCTCCCCATGGTGCCATATGGGGACAAAGAGGTCCTCTTAGGAACCTTTCTGTCTTTGACAAGAACTGGCTCCAAACTTTTATCCCTTACTCCAGACATCACACTCCCACAGGACGATGATCTTGTCCAATTGTCAACTCCAAAGAACAGCTAAAGGCTCTACCACCCTTTGAGACTTGGAGTGTAATGGGGGATTGACCTCCAAAAGCTGGAATCTTAGGTTTGAGGTCTTTGTAAGCACTTCTGTGATACCAAATAGCTCATCAGACCCAATATATTTACTCATCTAAGTGATGGTCCATTTAGGCTGTGAGGTACTCAGGGAAGAATGGTATCATATATCTCTGTATATTATTACTGTTGTGTGAAGTAAAACGGACAGAGCCTGTGTCAAGGTATGTAAGTGAGTGAATGAATAAAGGGGCAGCAGCAGGTCCAGGGCAGATCGGAGTGGGAAGTAATTGGGCAGTCACAAGGATATCCTGGTTCCACTTTAATAGAACTCTAGTCTGCTGTCCAGGAAGATACTGGAGGGAGGCAATTAGGAAGTGTGTGGCACTGTCACCCTCCCCAGGTTGTGAAAGCAGCTGCATGCTCAGGCCGTGTATCACAAACCCAGCACAGGATAAAAGGGCGCCTGCCCCAGGTTCCTCACCCACAGCCTCCTCAGGAACAGCCTTCTCCTGCCTCCTCTGCATCGGTGAGTGTCTGGAAGGGGACAGAACCTCAGCTGGGAGTGTTGGGCAGATGAGCTCAGACTATAGTGAAGAAGGGGGAGGCAGAGGTGTCTGATGTAGAGACAGCAAGAAGAGGACCTTGGAGGGCAGCTGGGGACAGTGTGGGGACAGTGAGTAAGGAAGCTCTGTGGTCTGTAACATCAAGGTCTGTGACACACCAGAGCCCTGACTCTCAGCATCCCCTCCACTCTTTATCCTGAAAGATGCACGCGTGCCCAGAGACATTCTCCAGGAGTCATTACCCACTTGGGCATATTTTCTTCCATGTTTCTATGGAGGCAGAGAGACTTGGGGCCCAGTTAGAAGGTATCATCATTGGTTTGGGAAGGAGGGCTGAGTAAGGGAAATGTCTTGCCGCGTCAGCTTAACTTGAGAGTGGTTCCCATTTTCTCCTGAAGGCCACAGCTCAGGAAGCAGCTGGTATTAGGAGGAAGGGCTTTATAAAACCACTCATAGAGGAGACACTGGCCTCAATGTTTTGCACTGACATTTCCTTTAATCCATCCAGGCTCACTCACCTCCCACCGAGATGTCCTCCCAGCAGCACCAGCAGCAGTGCCAGCCCCCTCCCAAGTGCCCCTCGCCCAAGTGCCCCCCAAAGAGCCCCGCACAGTGTTTACCTCCAGCCTCCTCGGGCTGTGCTCCAAGCTCCGAGGGCGGCTGCTGCCTGAGCCACCACGGGCGCCGCAGGTCCCACCGATGCCGGCGCCGGAGCTCCAACTCCTGTGACCGTGGCAGTGGTCAGCAGTCTGGGGGCTCAGGCTGTGGCCAGGGCTCTGGGGGCTGCTGCTGACCTGGGTTCCTGATTCTGAAATGAGCAACTCTAGAGGAAACAAGAATCCAAAGAGCCAAGGAAAAGCCTCAGCTTGAGGCAGCCTTTCTCAGACACCCTAATCTCCCTTTCTTGGGCTGAGCAGCTGTGATGTTCACAGGGGCGGGGTGAATTCTCCCCAGAAGGCTCCACACATGTATTTCTAAGGGTCTGTGGGCTCCCCCTCCTCTGTGCCTCACAGTGTTATCACCTGTGTCTGATCATTTAGAGAAATAAAGTCTTGTCTCACACCATCTGCCTCTCACTTGTCCTTTGATGGCTCCACCCAAGGCTGTGCAGTGGGCTCCCCTACCTCAGCTCCCGAGGGCCCAGCATGTCAGCACCAGGGAATAATCTTGTCATGGGGATGGAAGATTAATGGGTCAGACTTTTCTTCACACAGAGGGGTCTTGTGGGAGCTTTGAGGTTGGGAAGGTGGGAGGAAAGGTAAGCATGGAGAGTTGCTGAGAACACTCTCAACAGAAGACTTGACTTTTCTTGTGTAATCTGTGAGGAGGAAGGGTCTGACATCAGAATCCCCCTGTTGTCATGTATCAGAATCTTAGTTGAGGGTGGTATAGAGGGTCAGAAATTGAGAATATTGAGGCCAAAAATGATGGAGGGCATGGAGGTAGAAAGAAAGATCTGAGGGAGGAAGATCAAGTCAACTTATGAATGATGGACTTTAGAGAGAGAGCCGAGTGGAAAGCTGGTAAATTCTGAAGAAACTGGAATTGAAGGTTTTGCCAGAAAGAATGCATGGGGCATTCATCACTGAGAAGTTCTGAACTCTCAAAGAACTGAGAAAAAGAGGACATGAGAAATGTCTCAGAGGGTTACAGATTGGATACCTGTAAACTTCTCTCAAGAGATTTTAGATAGAATGGAACTCATTTTCCTTATTTTTTGTCTGTTGAATGCTTCCTCTCAAACTCAGCAGCATCAAAGAGACATAGCTGTGTTATGGTCACATTGGATTCTTTTCCTGCCCCAGCTTTGGAATAGGGCAGTGTTTATCTATACCCCAAACTGAAATGGTCATTCTCGATGTGAACCAAGAGTGCTGTTTCACTTGAATTGCCAAATTTTTGAAATAATGGTGCAAAAGAACAGGGGTCTGTTAGATCCAAGCCATAATGGTTCTTGAAATAACTTCACAAGGATGAAAATATACCATATAACTGTGGGTACAATCCAAGATGAAATTTTTGAGAGAAAACAGAGTTTGAGTGTGAAAATTCTAGACAGAGGACAAAACCTATGTGATATTTTGGGAATTCATCTGAAAGAAATAAGTTTTTTGTTATTTCATTTTTTAAAAAGTGTTTTAAAAAGTGATAAACTGGAAATTAGTTTTGCTCCAATATTCTTGGACATATAATTTCTCAAGAAGCTGGAACAAAAAGCATCAACATGAACCCTGATTGGAGGTTGAAGCCCAAAATGGGCTGCCAGTGAAATCACTGACCTTGCCGAGTTGGGGTTCCCCGAGGAAGTGGCCACAGATGTGGGGATTATCCTCGAGCAGGCTTTGGAATCCATGTGATGAGCTACTTTCTCCTGGACATTTAAGACATTCTTGGAAAGTATTCTTTAAAAGTCAGAATTAATTACATAACAGAATAAAAGAAAAAGGATGGGCAAGCTCTGTGCAGAAAAGATTTGGGGACCTCAGTTGAGAACATGCAAACCCCACACTCAGCTATGTTTGTGCATTCGAAGCCACAAACATTGATGAATCTGTGCTGGTTGGCCCCAAATCCATAGGGACCTGTGTATTTCAGGGGTGAATGGCAGCTGAGACACATCAGTCAAATTCTAGCTGCATATCAGCAACTGAGGAGCAGTATTCATCTTCCTCTTTTCCTCTCTGCCACATGTCAGACTGGGCTCCCAAGATGGTACTCTGAAGGGTCTGGACTTCCCATGAAGCTCATTTCCTTTGCTTTTCAGAGCTCTGTTTACTCCTGACTTGTGCCCTTGTCTTTGACTTGTGGATTTATAAAGATTTTCCACTTGAGTGCCATCTGACAGTGGGTTTGTACCACTCCACTACCCACTCGCCCTTTTCCAGGCAACCCAGGGTTTTCCCTTCTTTTTATGTCCCAGAGAACAGCCCTGCACTGCAAATTTTAGGGACCACAGGACCAGAGGAGGGGGAGGAAGTAGGTTTTCCTCCACTCAAAGGGTGTCTCTGGAAACTGAGTTCAGTGAAAAATCAAAGATTGCCAGTGAACGGCCTCCTGTGATTTGAGCCTGGTGTGAGCAGGATTCTGCTCTCACTGGGCATCTTTGCTACCCCCATTTCCTCCACTCCTGAGCAGCGCTCCTGTCTATTACCTTCTCCCATTGACCCAAGCTATCCCTCCTGCATCTTCTGCCCAGCCCACACCCTCCAGAACCCCTCGTTTATGAACTTTCTCAATCTGTCTCTCCCTCTGTGCCCCAGTTTCAAATTCGTCGCCTTTCATACTCTACCCCTCTCCTCTCTTTCTCAGTCTTCATTTGAATGGCTATTCTCCTCCTCCATCCTCTTTGGTCTTGTTCTTCATTGCTCATTTCTGATTCTCTGTCCGTCTCACCCCTGTCATACAGTATTCTTACAGAGCCCAGAACAGTATTCTTACAGGAACTCCATGAGCAGACGCTGGGGATTCCAACATGAGATCATATCACATCTCATTTCACACAGGAAAACTCAAGGCTTTCACTAATTCGTTCCCACCAACACCTCTCCCTAACCCGACCTCCATCCTAACACACAATCTCCTCCAAAGGCTCTTGTGAGGTGAGGGGAGTCTGAGCTGCTATGTTTCTGTTCCTGAGACAGGATTCTGTAACCAATGTTGGGCAGCCTGGGTGGGGCAAAGAAATGGCCATGTTAGACAGAGGTTGCACTGTGAAAGGAAAGCTTTATTTTTTCACAGGGACGTAAAGAAGGTGAGGGGAAGCACTGAGTTCCTGGAGAGCAGTAGGATCAACCCTCCATGGGAGCACTTGAAAACCTTCAAGAAATATCTCAGAAACAGAGAGAGGGGACAGGAACAGGATGCACAAGCTGGGGTCGGTTCCACTCATTTTGGAGCTTTCAAATGTTTTTGCTAATCTCATGATCCAGGTCAGCAGCAGCCCTCAGGGCTCTGGCCACTGTGGGAGCCCCCAGACTGCTGACCACTGCCACTGTCACAGGAGCCAGAGCTCTGGTGCTGGTGTTGGGGGGACCTGCAGTGCCTGTGGGGGCTCAGGCAGCAGCCGTCCTCAGAGCTGGGGCCATAGCAGCCCCCGGAGCTTGGAGGACAGCCAGAGGAGGCTGGAGGCAAACACTGTGTGGGGATCTTTGTGGGGCACTTGGGAGGGGCTGGCACTGTTGCTGGTTCTGCTGGCAGGACATCTTGGTGGGAGGTGAGTGAGCCTGGGCAAAATAAATACAACACAAACTATGTGTCAACTTAGAGGCTTCAGGCCAATGTTTCCTCAGTCATTGGTCTCCTCATTCAATGGTTTCCTCATTCATTGATTTTGAGTTAAATTGGCCCAGTAAGCTGTCCTTCCTTCCTCTTTCCCAATGGGAATGAAAGCTGGCAGACTTCTAGACGAGCCTCCAGGGCCACTGCACATAACCCCACAGCTGGTCTGTCGCACAGACACAAGGCGAACAGCGCCACCTGCAGGTATTCAGTGCACAAAACACACACTGTCCCATAACCATCCAGGGCTTCTCTGGACACCTGTGAGGAGGATGACAATCAGCGAGGGTGTGAGGAGGAAATGAGGGCATGGCTGGGAAGATAAGGAAGAGAGAGCCTGAGGTAAACTGCATCACAGGATCCCTGACGTGGCTCGTGGATTCTTCCTCCTCACAACCCCATCCTTCCCCTGCCCCGCTGCCCACCACGCCCCATCCTGTCTTCCTACTGCTCTCTCCTTGCTGAAGTACAGACACATCCGCTCAGTCCTTCCAGGTCAGGCTCTCCCCACCACTGGACACTCACATGATTCTGTGGAAGGAGGAGAAGGCTCTTTCTGAGGCGATTGTGGACCAAGGAACCCAGCACCTGAGCCCTTATGCTGAGTTTTATGATGCACAGCCCAAGAATGTGTCTTTGTTCTCAACCCAAGGTGACAATACCGCATACTCCCAGGATCAGGCTTTCAGCATTTTCCTAGGCACATATTTTGAGGAACGGCAGAAAAAAAGCAGGAAATCTTGATGATGGTCCAATTACCCACAGCTCTGGCCCACTGGCTGACATTTCGCTTTTATTTATTGATTTAGCTCTCATGCCCTGCAATCAGGATGTACCTTTGTGGGCATTGGTAATGTGGAGGCCAACAGAAGTGCTCTAGACTAGCTCAGAGACTGTCAGGAAGACATTTGGACAACTGAAAAGTTAAGTAGATCCCATGTGCTAAGTGTTGCAGCACAAGCGTGTGTAAAGGCATCAGGTCCGGGGCTACCGCCTTTGGGTGTCAATCCCTCACTGCCCTGTAGAGTCCCTCACGGGGATGAGTGATCAGCTCCTGTCTTAGGGGTGTTGACTAAACTGAGCTCATTTGGAAATGAGTGGGTAAGGAGTGGAAAAATGGAGCTGGGACCACGCCTTGAGAGGCACAGCCCTTAAGAGAACCTCATAGCATCTGAAATGCACCACGGGGTGTGGGGTGAAGGAAAGTAGAACTGGGGTAGGTCTTGGTGAAAAAGCAGATGATCTCAAAATGTGAGCTCCATCTGAGGAACTGATAGAAGTCACAATTAATAGAAAACAAAAGACATCTATTTGTGGATGTCTGGGATGTGTGAGGCTGAATCTAATTCTACTATATTATATTGTAATCAATGAAGATTTTCTTAAATTTGATGATAACAATGAGGTTGATGGAGTTGTATGCATTTCAGTTTCCAAATAGCTATGATAATGCTTGAGGTTTGTACATGGTGAGTTCGTGTAAGCTAAATATTATTTTCCATTTGGTTTTAATTATGATATTACTGATAAATTCATCATTGAAATACTCTGTAACAATATAATAAAATAAATTAGAGCCTCCAAAAAACCCCACTGTCATGAATTTAAAAAAAGCTTTATTTATACTATGTGTTTCCAAAGAAAAGAATCACAATTAAGATGGTATTTTCTAATAATCATAAATTTAAATTATACTGTAATTTTAAACAAAACATTGTTTTGATCAGAGTTTATGAAAGGCTGTAGGATCAGATACTTGTTCTTTGGCACAAAATACATTGTAAGGG